AAGTAAAAAAAATATTGGCAGTGTAATACAAATATTAACTATTATAATTAAGGAATAAAAACGTATGCATTGCAATGCTCAAAGCAACTGAGATAAATCACAAATACGAAATTATAGCAACGTTCAAGCACACAATGATATATCCTTTGCTTTAGTTACCAATTAAGCAAACTCCATGCAAGTTGAAGATTTACTGGCCAAATTATCGGCTTGCCAAGTTTTAGGCCGAAATACAAACACGATATATTAACTGAGAGTGCTGGACTCAGCTGTGTGGATATTCGGCAAACATTGTGCGACTGCTTTAACTCTCGGTTTACATTAAACTTGCAACTGAAGCTATATCTTCTCCTCTGTTAGTGTTGTAAAATAAATGTTGGAGTTGAATTTTAAATAATATTCGGAATAGAGCGTACCAATTGAAAGACTGCTTTATGAACTAAAACAGAAAGTGAAACAGTAATTTATCAATTTAAAGTGGGTTTAGTTTATTCTTAAAAAGTACCTTGTTAACCATTATGGCTTTTATGGTCACTTTAGATGGGTTTTAGGTGGGGAAAATAATTGTGCCTATAACAACACTCATTTATATGGAATTAAATTACTAATGATTTTACCTCAAAAATTATATTACATATTATTAAGTCTCATACACATTTCGATTGTTGATTAACACCCTATTAGAATTACCAATTTAAAATATATGTATAAAATATCTAGTATATTTTACCTTACCACTAGATCCCTAGAACATCCTATAAATTTTAAAATACCAATCATGTTTAATTTTGAGTACTTTTCTAATTTCATTTGATTTGTAGCTCTTTCTTACATTTCATTAAGATCTCGACTATCATAAAATCAAATGCTATTCGAACGTTTCAAGTTTTATGGGAATAAAGACCCACAACATAGCTTTAGTAAATAAAATAAACTAAAAGTTTAGTAAAACTTTATTTCCTAGAACACTTAGTTAATTATAAACCATAATCTTAGACATAATTCCTAATCCTTACAATAGCTTGTTTCAGTGGGCCTTTTGTGTCCTAGAGAATACATATTATATCCAGGGTCAAAATCCTTATTGTAAAACAGATTAATTAAACAATTTATTGCAAGTAAGGACCATTATAAGACAAAATGTTAAGAAATGTTTGATCTATTTTAAGTAAATAAAATCTGTCTTGAAATTACGAAAATTCCGACAAATATTTACGTCATCCAAGTTGAAAATAAATTCCATTTAGTGATATATTTTAACATTTTTAACCTCTAAAATTTAGCGTTACTCAATACTGTGTTCGTCATGGAGCTATTTTAAAACACAAATAATTATGGTACCAAGAAAAAGTTATTGTTCATAGTACAACGTAGATACAAATGACTAGGTTATCTCAATATTACTAGTAGGCCTTCTACTATATAGTACTTTTTTGTAAGATTTTACAAAAGAAACTATTTCATTGTTTATGAAGTATCATAAAAATTTATAAATGTACAAATAATCTTTAAAAATGCAATACTGAAGTAAAATTATTTATGAAAAAAACAAATAGTACTGTTTTTGATTATATGCAACCTGTATGTTAGGAAACTTCAATATAGGTAACACCTAATGGTTTAAAACCTTAACTAGGTTGCAAACACCGTTAACCTAATTCTAGTGAATACTGAGCCGAAGTTAGTAACATAAACACAAGTAGTCCAACATAGAGTAACCTCTACTGTGACTTGTGACCACTTCGGAATACCAAGTTATGCTCAACTAAGTCAATAAGTGAATACTCCACCCTCTCAACCAATGAATTCTCTTCCACCGATCGAACCAAATTGTGTTACCAAATTAGGTAATACAAATTAAGTACAACGTACGATTTAAGTATTAAGTTTTAACTTGAATTCAATAATTAAAGTTATTCCTATTAAATTTTAACCTTGACTAAAATGTTAAAGTTAGATTTTTCCAATGGGGTACATTTTTTACTAAACATCATAATTCTGGTATGTAATTTTATTTTTTTTTACAAACGGATATTGTAAAAAATAACGAAAAATAAGTATTGTTTCTTTAAAAAATGTTACTCACTGGAATTTTACAAACATAACTAAATTTATAAGTAAAAGTCCGTGTTAATGGCTTCTAACCAATTAAATTCCTTATTAAATTAAAACCTGATACCATTTCATACAAGAATAATTGTATTATAAAACATCATTTTTCTGTTCCCCTAACAACACATTCATTTGTCTGTAGCACTAGTCGAATACCGTTAAAATGGTTACTTGGTCTTCCATGAATTATTCTATTGAATAAAACAATATTTGTTCGATCTGTATATCCCCAATGCGCAATGTTTCTGCAATTCATTGAAGATCAAAGAATAACTATAAGTAAAAATATTTTGTTGTATACAAATGGTTCTTCACATTTTCTTCGCTGTAATCCAAAAGTTGCTAACGTCACAACTATTTTTGACTTTCAAGAAGTCATCTTCAGGCGTAAAAGGATGTCAGATTGCATTGCATTTTTATTACAGTAAAAATTAAAAGGCGAAATATAACCAAACTTTTAAATAATTTAAACGAAACCCTATTTCCTTCGAAGATGTTAATGTATTCATATACAATGTTCATCAAATAATATTTCATTGATTAATTAATTATTATTATTAATACACATTTTAATGTCAATAGAAATGATACATTTTATACTTAAATTGCATTTTTAGATAGTAGATTTAAAAGCATACTAATGCATACTACCTTATCATAAACCTAAATCAAATTAAACTTTATTAAGAAACAAAATGTTCTCATATTTTAGTTGTTTTCTTACGGGAATAATTTTCAAGATAATTTTTATTTATTTCCTTAAAATAGATAATAATTATTCACTTTGAAAACTATTTAAAAGTGTTGGCGTTAATTAATTAATCATTGCAATAGCATATTAATCAACTTTACAATAGTTCTACTTATTATATGCTATTAATTTCAATAGCCTAGTTGCTGAGATTTATGCCAAGAATGCCTATAAACAGAGTTTACTATCATTGCAGCATTGGCTGTACTTAATAAAGGCTAGAATTAAAATTCTATCTTAAGAGTTCAGGTCCTTAAAAAAGCAGATTTTTACAGACGGTGCATTTTGGAGTTTATAATTGGAGTTGAAATACTAATATTCTATACTTAGAAAAAAATCTAAAATAATCAAGCTACTAATCCTACTATCCTACTTCTACTTATATTATAAATGAGAAAGTTTGTATGTATGTATGTTTGGATATTTGTGACAAGTAAACGCGAAAAATACTGGTCAGATTGAGCTGAAATTTAGGGTGATGATAGCTCACATTCCCTATTAAAATATAGGCATATTGTTATATCAAAACTCCTTTCAGGCTTCGTCCCAGTGGTTCTGGAGTTGCCCATGTTAACTTTATTAGTAATCACATTTAAAAGGAATTGAATAATTTTGTAAGCTGATTCGACCAAACAAGACGGTTCTATGATGTTCAACAGAATTACAAATTTATAAGGTTTACCTTCAGGGTGTAGCACTATTATATTATTTGCAATTATGATAAAAGCTAATTAGAACTAAGAAGCATCAAAATGCTGTGATACATAATGAGAACTGTCAAAATAGGATTGTCTACAGTAATGTTTTATGTTTTTAATTTAATACATAATTTGTGATATTGTGTGAATGTTAGATCATTTACTTTTTTATATTTTTTAGGTGCAGTGGTATAACAGAATGGCTATGGTAGGTGTGTAATACTATACGGTATATACTGTACTATATTTTATCTGTGATACTATAGCATACCGTAAATATAAAGAACCAAATTCTCTCAAGCCTTAACTATTGTTATCAAGGCTATTTGCAAACGCAAAGCAAGAGTATGACTGCAATATGTCTAAGGAATATGTCGGCCTTAGTCACTAACAAGACTACAAGATCGTGCCACTCATCCGACAATCATACTTCACTCATATTTGGGTTAAAATACGCACATAGTGGCGTCCCTATCTTAAATAATTGAATTGAAAAATAAGCATTTATGCTTTTACGCCAACCCCGTACGAAGAACGGGTACTCTGCTAGTTTATTATATTTGTTTAAATTTTACCTTCATGTTTAAGTGACGCTAGGATCTCATTTTCTACTATTTTACACATAGCCACTAACATGATTCCTAGCCTAATGGCCCATGATATGCTAGGTCTGTACGTTAAATTGACATAACATAGCTATATGTCTTTCGTTATTCTCAGGTTTTATACTTGATTGATTGACCATAGATACTGAATCCCTACACTCTACTACAAGATCTATTTGCTCTCCGTATATTATTTAATACCGCATATTATTTATCTCCGTATATAATTTACGAAAAAATTTAGTAAAAAGAAAAAAAATCATATCTTTTTTTTTATATGCCGCTATTTATACTTTCAAATCACCTTTGTTAGTTTTGTATGTGTTTTTGAACGAATCTGATTGAATTGTGTTCTTATTATGTGCGAGTATTTGAATATTATTTAATTGAATGAATATTCTCGTGAGCTTAAATAAATGGACTATTATGAATTTGTTTCGCCATATATGACACATCTCTTAAACATATGTGGCTACACTAGGAGTCAAAACTAAGTTTGTTGTCATTCCATTTACAACATTAACAAACATATCATCATAAGGACCACATGAACTTAATCGTTGTTTGTACTAAATTTTGGTTGTTGGCATATAATTCAAGGAAAGTATAATTGTGTCATATTTTGCAAGTGTAATTAAGAGAATTTCAAAACGTTATGTTTTTATTGTCAAACATAATTAATATCCTGGGGCTTTGTTCGCCATAATTAAGTAGGAATTCGGATTTTAATGTTTGTTCACTTTTGCAGTACAACGTAAATGCCACGTGTATAGAACAGTGGTAAATACACAGTCATTTTCATTATTTATTCTGACAAACCGTTGGAATTTGACGACTCATGCGGAATTGTGTTCAGTCCATCGGAGTCGTGCTTCTGTAAACACATGTACAGTATCGGAATGTCCTTCTGCAAACTAGTGAGTATTTCATTTAAATATTATTAGAAACATATAACAATTTATTTTAATAAAGTGCCTTAATATTTAAAATCTGTTATGTAACTTGAAAGATTATTTCAATTTGTTTTCCAGAATAAGTTGGTTTAGTTATTTTTTTTCAGCTAGCATCTTTTATTAAAGTTAGAAGTATAACTGGGACTTTTTATATTTTCATAAAAACCACAAATTAAGTTTTTCCATGATTTTCTCATTCTAATTTTATCTACACTCTGCTAGAATCAATTTGCTTTGTTTGTATTAGTTTCTATCTATCCAATCTACTAATGTAGGTTTAAATTACCTGTTTGATGTCAAAATGATCCTTGACTGTAACATAACGACTACAGCTGTTTCATGCTTTTAAAGTAGCACATCTTAAGGTCGAGAATGTCTTAACGGATATTAGTTCATTCAGAAGATCCAGAGGCCATACTATCATGCTATCCAATCCGTTTAAACTAGTTGACCAACTATCGCAGAGGTGCAGTTTCTTCCAACCCTGGTTTAAATAACTTACAATCATTGTGTTATAACTATACTGTATAGATTATTTGCATTGTGGTTAGCAACAACATTAAAAAATTTACCATTTACCATATAATTGAGAGAAACCGTGTATTCAATGAGGTTAGTCAGTAAAATTGTTGTATGTGATATAGTTGCAAGATTTGTTACAAGGCACGTCCATACTTTGAGAAACATTTTTCTAAGGGTTTGAGTCGTCTTACTTATGACAGTTATTAAAAATTATAAAAAAAACAAAGATAAGCTTGAAAAATATTCATGATATAAAATTCTACTGCCGAATTCACATGTGTTCCATTACTTTTCTTCTCTCTAGTCATTTTCAGTAATAACATAAAAGGAGCTGTAAAAAAAACTTAGTATTTATTTCTTCACCTGGTGTTAGTTTTGCAAGAGATTCTGCAAATCTAGAAGGTTTGGAGTAGTAGTTAGCTTTTGGCGTGGACTTCCATCTATGTGGTAGCAGTTGGTTAGTAAAGGCCCTCTACGTGAAGGTCCCCCAATCATACGGAATTAAATGTAGCCAAAGTTTTCCTAAAACCAACTAACTGACGTTGGACTCTCAAAATTATGCTAACTATAATCTAAAACTTTCCTCTTGTACTCATATGTTGATAAATCCATGAAGGCAACACGCTTATAAATCTGTAAACACAAATTTTACTACGCAATAAATCTCTATCACGTTTTCTCCAAAATGAACAAATATATTTTTATTTCGTAAATTATCAAATCATTGATCATCTGTTGACAATGAATATTGTTATACTCATTTTACTTAAAAAAAAATAAAAAAAAGTAATCATCAGTGATAATATACAAGGGGATCAATCACACTGGTTTACGCTGGTTTGTACAATTTGTACGCTTAGGTTTGTAATTTGAAGTAGTATAAGTAAGGTAAAGACCCTTATTACTATTCAATTTACCTCCTCATAGCTTAAAAAACAGTATGACTCATTTAGATGGACATAGTAATCTGCCGTGTTGCGATATGAATGAAACTGTCTTTGTAGTAACATTATTTGGAATCTATGTGATAAATTTAAAAATTCGCTAAAAAGTAGGCTATGCATATTCAATTTTTGCTAGAGTTTATTATCAATTTACATTTAACAATAACTTACTGTTTCAGGAAATACTACCGGCCTGGTTCCTGTTCGTTGTGGTGGAATCACAGATACAACTTCCGGCGTTGAACCCAGTGTTCTCTACATCCCTAAACGCTCCACGGGTTGTTGCGGTACCAAGAATCGTTGCTGTAACATCAGTCTCCAACAGCCAAAGTACTTCAGCATTAGCTCAAGCACCAGGCGAACCACCACCTTCAGGTGTTCCGGGAGCAGGGAATACACCTCCACGAACTGGTGCTAGCCCTGGTGCTCCTCCTGGTGGTCCAGGTAGTCCTGGTCCAGGAGGTGGAGCACCTCCCGGAACTCCAGGTGCATCACCCACCATCCCTGGAGTTCCAGGAGCTGGACCACCGGGAGCGGGAGGAGGAGCACCAGGAGGGGCACCAGGAGCTCCAGGGGGAGGACCAGGAGCTCCAGGGGGAGGACCGCCGGGAGGAGCACCAGGAGGAACACCAGGAGCTCCAGGGGGAGGACCGCCGGGAGGAGCACCAGGAGGAGCACCAGGAGGAGCACCAGGTGGAGCACCAGGAGCAGGACCGCCAGGAGCTCCAGGGGGAGGATCACCGGGAGGAGCTCCGGGAGGAGCACCAGGGGGGCCAGGAGCACCAGGAGCTGGATCACCAGGAGCTCCAGGGGGAGGAGCACCGGGAGGATCACCGGGAGGAGCACCAGGGGGGCCAGGAGCACCAGGAGCTGGACCACCAGGAGCTGGCCCACCAGGAGCAGCCTCTGCTCCAAGAGCTGTAGGAGGATCCCTTACGGGTCCATCTTCATCATCAACAAACTCTACTGGAATCTCACTAAGTATTGATAACGTTCCAGCTAACGGTGCCAAGCCCAACATCACATTGGTCATATCTAATATATCAAATGGGACTAAAATTAACATAAGCAGCAGCGGAAGGTTGCCTAATACCTCAATGGGATAACGTATCATTATAAATAATAAAAATTATCACCCTACTTTAAATGAATTCACTATTTTGAATATTACTCAGTGCAAGTGTTGTACCTATATTTATGATGAATCATAAATTTTCTAGTTTGATGACATGAAAATGTATTTGTAAAATAATTAATAAAATGTACATGAATCCATAAAGAGTTTTGGGAGTTTAACCAACAATTTACTGAGTAATTTAAGACCAGAAAGAAGTTGGTGGCGTAATAACAACCCAAGATATAAATCTTTTAATAAAAACAAATTTTTAAAAAAGTTTTATTTAATTTTGTGTTTTTACCTCTAATTGCAAAACAGAAAATCTGCTTATGTAGTCTAAGGTACTTGCTTATGTGTTAGTTATATTGATGACAGCACTTCTTGATTACCCATTTTAAATCTATTGCGCATATTTTCGTAAACAATCGTCAACCAAAGAGGGTCAAACACCAAGAAAGTTGTGAATTTTACATGTAGTTAAGTATAACACAAAGGCAGCAAAAATGAAATTGCATACATAGTTAAACTTAGTATTAATTCAGTAATATTACTCGTTGATGGAATATTTTAACATAAAGGACAAACATATTTTACTAATTGATGTTAAAATGAATCAATAGAATACAATTCATAAGTAAAACCTTCCATATAATAAACTAACTTGACTTGGTTAAGTTTAATCAAAACTAAAATATTGAGAATTTTTGAGGGTTTATTAAATAGTGTTTGTTTACAATAAAAGAATATGATATTTGAAAAAAATAAAGTCTTTACCCAAAGATACATCTTCAAAAGTGATTTTCTTAACGTAAAATTAGGCACAACCTGGTATATTTCCAAAAGTGCAAAGAACACATGTTATTGTGTAACCAAAACAAAATTATTCTATAAAAGTAAACTATGCTTTGACACCTTGAAAAGGTCGAGGGTAAGATAAGAATTTTAACTCAGCATCTTAATATTCCCTTTGAAGTTAATTACCAAGGAATCTAGGTTGATTGCATTTACTTTTATAATAAGTTTTCAAATATGCACAAAGTAAAATCTTAAATATAATCAAATGCTGTTCTAAACTACTATACTGTATTTACTACCGGTACTGGAAAAGGCAGAAACAATATCAATATAATGTTGCATTATCTTTATAGAATACAATATTTAAATAATGAATTTTTTTTTGCACCATAGCAAATTATTACAGCTAGCTAACAGCATGTATATAGGTGATAAAATTTACTTTTGAACTAAAGCTTGAGTAAAAAGAAATAATGGGTTATCAAACAGGGTTATCAAAAAGTCCGGGAACTATGTTTTTTTTTTTATTATTTTAGAGTTTATTGAACAAAATTTACACTTAATCATTGTACTTGAACTTATACTTTGTGACGTAATATTCTAGGGGGGGGGGGGTGGTGAACTGGTATTTACAAACTCAGGCTAGGCCTACCCCTAGAACCAGCCACACTCAAATTTCTTTGAGTGTTCAGAAGAAGCCGAGAAAAATCTAGGGATCGATATGAAGTTTTCACGACTTAGACTGATCAATTTATTGAATTTAATTGAAGGCACATAGCTCTAGAAGCGCTCAGGAAACCCTACAGACGCTCAGTTGGAGCTATATCATCCTCACTTTCGTTAAGGTGTTTTGGTAAATTTTGCCTAACTTTTAGATTTAATCTGTAGGGCTGACGAGTATTCTATCCTGGCTATTGCGGTAAAACAACTCGTGTTAAACTTAAACTAATTAACTAAAGGCTCTGGTAAAATAAATGAGATAGCAGCGATAGAATGAACAAAATATAGTGTAAAAGGTTGTAAAAGGAGTAAAATATAGGTCCTTACAGAGTCGTTGGGGCCTAATTAATATATCGAAACGAAAAATTTAGCGTGATATGGTTTGGAATGAATTTTATAATAACATACTTAGTAATTAATTGTTAAAATCTTACCACTCCAGAGACTTGATTCTTTCACCCACCAAAGATGGGGCTTAGAACTCAGACGACGAGTATCAGGGCATCAATAACGTCGAATTACCTAAAATAATTTACTTAAATAACTATAGCCACCGCTAGTCACTGGCTGGTCCAGACTCAAGTCAGTGAATTTTGAGTTATTAAATTTAGATATTTCTAATCGAATTTTGAAGCAAGCGAGAATGAGTGGCAAACGAGTATGCGTATGTTATTTAAACGAAAATAAAATAAGCGTAGACAAATAAGTCAAATAAGTTTAAATAAGTCAATCCTAGACTTTAACAAGGAAAAAATATATCATTATTTTCCAGGTCTCTCCGGAAATAGAAAAACTGATTAACAATGTAATTTCAATAAAAAATAAATACTAAAAATGGCTGTTACAGTGGTTTTGAACTAGTCTGATCATTAAAATTAAATGTTGATTAAAATCGGGGTTATAGGCCTATACTTTACACCAAATATCGCAAAATTATCATGTTAGAAAATTTGATACATTAAAAGATATACATATAACAGACAGCTAAGTAAATTGTATACCATACAACAATATACAACTGGGTCATGTTGGGATTTGGTTGTTTAGCAAAGTAACATTTACTGAACATTTGTGTTACTAAGTACTGTCACAAGTTCTATGACAGACATAAAGCGTGCTACATAACTACGATACAGTGGTTATTTCGAGACCTGTCAAGAAATTCATTTAGTTACAACATTATTTTTTTCTACAATAAGGGGTTACATTTACTCAAACTGAATGTAAAACTCATTTTATTAATAATTTATTACGTCATCGAAAAGTTATCTACAATCAAATCTGTTTACTAGTGAAATAGTTAACTGTTAACAAGAATCTATGTCATATATGTTTTAATTCCAAGGCTTTCTTTATTAAAAAAAATAATTGTAGTAAGAAATGTAATTTTTCCTACAGTTACCTAACAATGTACATGTTCTCTCACTGATTTGAGAAAACAAAGTGGCCAATTCGCTCATTTGTCTCACTCTAATTACTTTGTCTCACTCCAGATTTGCAACGTGAAGGCACGAAATAGTGAGCGCGTAACATGCAGGCAACGTCATATGCGCGCGAAATACGTTGGCAGCACTGGCTGTAAATCAGCTGGTCAGCTGTTGTACTGTTGTATTCGTCACTTCACATGAAATGTTATATTAAAAGTTCACTTCTGTGTAAAAATAGGTTATGTTTCTTCACCAATTTATTTGTTTTATGGTAACTGTAGGAAAAGTATAATGTGCAACTCGAGTTCAAATTACAATTGCCTCACTCGAGAAACCATTCCTCCTCACTCATTTCTCTCGAGTGAGTCAATTGCTCACTTTTCTCACTAGTTGCACAATAGTTATTTGTGCAACTAGAGAGAAAAGTGAGCAATTGACTCACTCGAGAGAAATCCTCACTCACGAGCCGTAGGCGAGTGAGGAATGGTTTCTCGAGTGAGGCAATTGTACTTTGAACTCGAGTTGCACATTATGCTTTTCCTACAGTTACCATAAAACAAATAAATTGGTGAAGAAACATAACCTATTTTGGGAGTGTTGCTGAAGGTCTAAGTCCCGGAAGTTCTAATTAGACCTTCGACACACATTTTGCAGTTTGTACTTGTTGCTGAGGGTCTAATCTGGTAGTATGTCGAAGGTCTAAGTCCCGGAAGGTCTAAGAGTACAGTCAATGCAAAAAACTCATCAACTGATACTGTTTTAGACCTTGCGGGATTAGACCTTGGGCACACAATGTATATTTTGTAAATAAATTATTATAAAATGAGAGTTGCTGAAGGTCTAATTCCCTGAAGGTCTAAGATTCGAGTGCCGGAAGGTCTAAGATTCGAGTCCCTGAAGGTCTAATTCCCTGAAGGTCTAAGATGTGGGCGGGCATTGCGTCGCCAGAGATGAAGGCTACACAAGCAGGCAATAACGCAACAACTTTTAGAGTTGTAATATTCTTAGTGATAGTTTTAATAACTCTCACGTCTTTTTTTTGCTAGCTCGTTATTACAAGTACGATGGAGATATAAAAAAATCCTTATTTATATTATATCATTGATTATTGGATACTTTAATTTTTGTTATAGGCATAGTTGCTGGGCCATAACAGTTGCTATAGCTCAGAACAAACCATTGTGCAATCGGCATAAGTAAGTTAAATAAGTTCGGCAGAAATAAGTTAAAGTTGGTGTTAAAAGAACATCGTTAGTTTCCTTGGTGTTTAGGATTCTGTTTTGTTTATTTCAGCTTATCTTAGCCAATAAATAGTTTCATCCATTGACTTTATACCACAGATGTTAATGACTAATTTCATATATATGTATGACCATTGATTAATCTAATCTTTATATTTGTGCTATAACTTATTTGTTAAGATTAATAATGTCACATGTTTTTAATAATGTTAAAATGATGGGTAAATAAATAGTGATTTAAATGTTGTACAGAAATTGACTATTCTTATTTTGACTATGATAATTGACAATTTAATAACACATATAGTCAATGTTTCATCTTACTAATATTATAAATCTAAAAGTTTGTGAATTTTTGCGTGCGTGCGTAAAGGGTCGGTTCCGAGGCGATCGATGTGATTTTCCACCGTGGGTCCGAGGTCCCCGCTTGTTTCGAGGTCCTGGTGAGGGACCTCGGATCCAAATACAACAGAAAACGTGTTCGTTGCCAGAGAATAATTTTAATATCAATATTAAGTGATTCTGAGCGAGACCTTGGAACCCTAATGGAAAGTTTAAAACTTCTTAGCAGAATTTCCGATAGGAACGTAGCGATAGTTTTTACTTGTACACAGTGTGGCATCTATTTATCTATAATATTAAAACGAAACAGTGTTTTTTTATTTCACGATTCTGAATCAACCACTCGACGGATTTACATGATTTTTGTGTTGAAAGAAAGATAATTTTGAGAACTAGGGAATGTCGAAGCCATAATTTTAGTTTTGGGTCCCAGTTTTTTATAAATTAAGTTTTAATTTTTAAAA